TGTCACTGTTTGCAAAATATCTAATAACAATTACCTTCCAATACCAATACTTCCTGTATTGCCATGGTCATCTGGGAGGAGGGTCGCATCTAGTGCTTTCCCCAGGAACCGTTCACGGCCACCAGCTACCGTCCAGTCTTGGGTGGATCCAGCGAGGCATCGGCAAATCGCAGGCACACTTACGCTAGTTACAAAAAAACACACCCGTGCAAAGAAACGGATCAAATAAACGTTACTCTCGCGAAAGCACACCCGTCGTCGTCGAGCAGCAAAAAAAAGGAATCGGTGGGCAATTTTGTGATACGGATTTCCAAAATCAACCGGGAATGCACGAATTTCTCCACATCAAACTACAAAAGACGTTCAGAAGCACTTTTGGTACACTGTCGTTCGAAAACACTTAATTTTTTTCAAAATAGTTGCGAGTGAACCAACATCATCACCGCGTAAATCGGCGACGCAGGTATTTTCTGAGGCACAAAATGTCTGATCACGTCTTCCTTCCGAAAGGAAGTAAAGCCGTTGGTCCCGGTCTATGAGTTGATGGGTCGATAGGTAGGGTCCAGGTGTTGTGGGAGCTGCCTCTCTGGCGTCGGTAGCATTGCAACTCAGTGCGGAAACAAATCAAAGAAAAAAAAAATAAACAAATTAATCCTGTTGTATTGTTATTTCTTGAGTGGTCTAGTATTCTATGATTTTGTATGCATTAAAGATTGCGAAATAATCAGCCATCCATCTCAGCCCTGTCACAGCTCCAATAAACAATAATAATAACAATATTATTATTAATATTAAATATTTTCCGCCCATCCGGTACAAACCGTATGATTATTTTTGACGTAGGATTACGTCTGTGATTTCTATATGGGGGTACACTTTGTAAAAACCGAAAATGGAGCATGTAACATAATTATGAAAGAATTTGAATGTTTTTAACTCAGCTGCCCCTGGACCTATTTCAATAATTTTATCACCAATCGATCAGAAATATTTAAAAAGAGAAATTTAAGACTTTATCATTTTCAAAATGTCACTATTGAAAATTGCACGAATTTGCAACTGTTGCTATGGTAATTAAAATTATCAACGATTGCATGCGAAAAGAGATTTCTTTAACACAGATTTCAAAGTTGAATTCCATCCGGTCTCACCAAACGGTTTATTTAATCACCGCGTGGTGAGTGGTGGTGTTCTCCATTACACAACGAAAGGCTGCCTGCAAGCAGCGAGTTGCAGCCCACATGATCATCCATAGAAGGAGGAAGAAGCCACACCGCTATTGATCGGAATCAGTAGCTCTTCGTTAGTCGCTGTGTGGCATCTATGTCAAGCGCGTCATACTAAAGAGTATAAACAGAGGGAACCCCGCTCAAATTCCTATTCCTACTCAAAACACAAGCTCTTGCTGCAGTTAACAAATAAGATTTATTATATAAGACCACGTAGTTCTACGTCACCATTGCGTACAACCCCATAGGGCTGTCCCTTGTAGTTTTTTTTTTTTTTTTGCAAAATCACCTATCGATATCAAACTGGTATGGTACTGAATATATTTCTAATGGACTTTAACTACCAAATAACGACTGTAGGTAATGGGCTTAAAAAGTTGCGTAAGTACTTCCAGCTGTAATCAATGGAATTTTAATTATAATTAATTATTGAGGCGCTTATCTGCGTTGGAATTAAAGGTTATTGCGTGCCCCTGTGATATTTCAAAGTAGTATATTCTATTATACCCCGATTATCGACTCATGTTTTTAAGATTTTGATTGTCTTATTTCATATTATAGTGTAACATATTTTATAGAAGTACATTATACATTACATTATTACATTACATAATTGACCTATTATTTCATTGGAACATTTCGGAATCTTTGATCATGAATTTGATCTTAAAAACTTTGACCTAACCGCCCTAGATCACATACTTACAGCAGTTAATTGGTCTCTGGTTTTGAACGGTGATTCAGTTGACGTCATTACAAACCACTTCTACGAGAAACTGCACGCAATTTTTCACGAGTGTGTTCCTCTTCCTAGACCTTTCTCCGGCTACTCTGCGTGGAAACCCTGGTGGAATACAGAGCTGTGTAACCTCCGCGCAACAAACTCCGCAAGGCCGGCAAACGGTTTTTCATCTCTAAATGTCCACTTATCTCATCATACAAGCAGCTGTTTGCCGATGACTTGAAAATCTGCAGAATCATCGTTTCCATCCTCGACTGTATTGTACTTCAGCTTGATATTGACACTTTGTTGCTATGGTGCAGTAAAAATTGAATGAAAGTCAATATAAAAAATGCAACATAATTTCATTTTCCCGTCATCAATCCCTTCATCAATTCTTGATCTAGGGGAAAGTTCAAACTTTAGGTTAAATGTTATGTGCAGTCAACTTATTGTATGTGCAAAGTTCTTAGACAGGTAAGGTGAATAATGGTGAATTAACTTCTCATAATTCCATGAAACTTCGCATAATTGTTCGGTAATGGAAATAAAATAAGTTTGTGCTGAAATTCGACCAATTATGACCCGCACCAGTTTTTTTTTTTTCAAAATGACGTAATCTATATTTTTCAATAAATCCAAGCACAAAAACGGCTCAAATGTGTTGTCTTGCCGCTAGCAAACAATTAGACAAAGTTTCCTGGAATTCGGAGAAAGTAACGTTTGGTTGATTCGGCAGAAGGCGTGCTCTATAAAAAAATATTCAAAAAGGACATTTTCTATTCCACAGTAAACCACGAATAACTAAATAACGGATTAAAATAGAGCTATGTTGTCTGCGGCAAAGATTTTCTCCATAGTATTTCCCATCGTTCGTTGGATTAAATTGACAATAGCATTATGGTTTATACCCATTGAAATGCCATAATGTACCTAAAAAATCGTCGTCTTGAAGAATTTAAAAAATCATGCAATAAAATTTTGCGCGAAGTACGCAGTGACATTTTTTCTCTTATAGCTGTCTGGAATCTGTAAAAAAAAGGTTAGGTTTCACCAAATATGTTTTCAATATTTGCTAAGAAAAATATATATATTTTTTTTAAATTTCATCGGGGCTACCTCTAAACAATATTTCCCAGAGTTACCGTCATATAAAAGTTTGTTTGAAAATATTGAATCAAGCTAAAAAAGTATCAAATCACAGTAGGCATTGGTTGTCAGGATAAGTTCATTTGTTTACATCATGGCTACGGAGCAAGCACGTCGCGAATGGATCCTGCACGCTCGAAACAAATTCTTCGATGCTGTCGGTGTAAATATTTACTTTATTTGACAAAGCTCATGTAATCATGACAGCAGTTGACCTCTTTTCTTCATTCATATTTTTTTTTTCAATAATCAAACGTCATGATTACCTGGATTCACCTGTTTGCACCAAAGAATATCCCGATCCAGCCGCTCCTGGCAGTTTTCGATCAAATTCCTGGGCAGGAACTTTAAAATCAAAAAGAAGTAAAAAAATGCTTGTTCGGGTAAGCAATCTGCAGTTGTGGGCTGAAAAGCGAAGCTTTCGTTACTTTTGGAACCATGAATCAGCAAATTTACGAAGAGGAGTGCCCACGGAAGAGACTACTGTCTTTTCTGGAGCACCATGAGGTGGAATGCCTATTCTGGCCAGACTTGTCAAGCTGCCACTACTCAAATTCCACCCAACAGTGGTACAGCAAAATGGCGTCACAGTGGTTCCCAAGGAGATGAATCCTGCCAGTACTCCGGAACTAAGGTAAATTGAGGAATACTGGTCAATTGTGAATAGGGTTACCATATGGTATCCTAAAGGAGGACATATCCTCCTTTTTCAACAATTTTTCTACATCCTCCTTTTACCCGAAAATGTCCTCCTTTTTAATAACTGCATTTTTCCGGTAACATATTTTTAAAATTGTTTTCAAATAGCGTTTATTGCAGAGCATATTTGTTTAATTAAATCGCATCCTAATCATTTATAGCAAATGCCATTCGATAGTGGGATCAGCAATATACTACAGTTGTGAACCCCCCTACATTTAGGATGTGGTTCATTTGGTGAATTTCCACTTAAAAGTGACAGATGGAAAATTTTAAAATAAATCTGCTATTCTACCAGACTTATGTCTGACCGACCAAGGATCAATTTTGACAAACGATTCCTCGAAATTCGGATGATCAACAACATAGAGATTTTCTATCTATATAATTTATTTTCGAAGTGTCAAGTTTAAGTGAAAATTCACCAAATCTCGATTACGTTTTCGAAGGGACGTATCAGCTTTTGAAAACAATGCATTTGATCGTCGATTTGGCGTAACTGGTAGCTTGCCCACGAATACTAACACTACCATCAAATAGGGGGAAATTTCATCTACCTGATACTGGTGTTAGAGCCTTAGACTGTGTTCCAATGTTATAATGTTCGAAAACCCCTCTCTTGTTGGTTGACCGATTGTCGAGAAGGTGTTTGTCAAAATGGATTGTTTTTCTGTCTGGATTGTCTTATGAAATACCAGGGTTATTTGATAATTTCCCATCTTTAAAATGTAAGTGAAAATTTACCAAATGGAACACAGCAATCCAACGTGTGTTCGATTTTGACGCTCTGGTTCTATGGGATGTTAGGTATTGGTTTAGAGTCCTATGCTGAATCAATGGTAAAATTAACAGATTGCTTAGATTTTCCTTTTCATGTTGGTTTCAATCAGCGGTGGCATGTATCCTGATTTTTGTACATGATAAAAGAAGGGATGGTTTTTAGGCTGTAAAGCTGTAGTTTTCATGCAAAACCGCTAGACTAGATCATTTTCTATAGTCTTAAAAGTATATTATTAAGATTGATGCATTTTTCAGAAGAATAACTAGAAGATGAATTGAATTGATAACGACTACAATTAATGAACAATCTTAATTGATAAAACTCATTGTCCTCCTTTGTACTGTACTGTTAAGACAAGGAAACATTGTCCTCCTTTATCTCCAAACCTAAAAAGAAATGTCCTCCTTTTCAAGTTTTTGATATGGTAACCCTAATTGTGAAGCACATAGTGAAGAAAAACGGTGGAACTGCAATTGACCTGAAGAATTACAAGCGGGAACAGGGCTCGTGCCCTGCCAAGCAAGTGGGAACAGGGCTCGTGCAAAATATGATGGGCCGTGTACTAAAAAAAAAGTTCGAGCAATGGCGTATGGTAAGAAGAAAGACTGAACAATGTTCTAATAAGAAACATAATACTTACTTATGTAAAGCTGTTACATTGAACTATGAAACATTAAACGCATTTTTCAAAAAATACTTTCGTGTCCGGATGTTTTTGTGTTCAACCTTTAACATCCTTAGCTATCATTTGGAGGGTGAGCTCCCAAGTTTCCTGACAAAGTACAATTTTTGGGCCAACCTAGTGTCCATTGTGTCCAATATTAGAAAAAAATCACATTTGTTTTTTGGAAATGCTTTCAAATACGTAAGTTTAGTTTCAACCTGTTTTTGTAATTTTTTGGCAAAAATTTGGGGTTTTTTTATTCAGTGTGTATTTTTGTCTGACATTCATTCCAGTTTCCAACATCTCTTTCTCATACTTCATAATGATTATTTGAGTCCATTTCGTGTTATAATTTATCAAAAAAACCGAACACCCCATTTTGAAAAATTAGGCGAGAGTCAAAATGATCAAATGTTTCACTAGTGTCAATAAACTAAATGTGTGCTGGAAAATAAAAGAAATAAAAATAATGTGACTGCATATACGGGTGTCCCAAAATTGCACTTTGTCTGGAAATCTGGGGTTTCAACCTCCAAATGATAGCTAAGGGTGTTACAAACAAACTTTTGAACGGCGGCAACTCTGGGAAATGTTGTTTAGAGGTCGCCCCGACGAGATTTTTGAAAAAAGTATATTTTTCATAGTTATTATCCAATAAATATTTTTAGTTCTTTAAATTTTTCTGTGAAATCTCACGTTTTTATATTTTTCGCAGATTCTCAAGGGTCAAAACTATAAGGGAAAAAATTGCTACGGCATATTCTGTGTCCAATTTGTTAGTTACAATTTTTCAAATTCTCTAAAATGATGTTTTTTGTTGTACATCACTGCATTCAAACATCAAAAGTGGGTATCAAACAAAGCGCTATTATCAATCAAATGCAGCAGAAATATGGGAAAGTTAAAAAGAAATGTTTTGAAAAAATGATTCTTAGGATTTTCTTTAGACTTTTTCTTATTCTCATTCACATATACATGATTTACATAGGGGAAATGGCTCTACATAATGTTAGCCTATGGATTTAAGATTGGGCCCATTGCTAAAAACTGCTATTAGAGGTACTAATGGATATTTTTGGTCGCTATTGAAAATTCAATTGATTGCTGAATTTATATATTGGCCCAAATTAGGGGCATTTAGGCCGCCATTGCACCCATTTCCCCTACATAAAGAAACCCAATTTCCAGGATTCGATTTTTTTTTTTCAAGAGAAATTTCGAAACATTTCAAAACTAGTTTTTCTCAATTTAAAAATCTTTCTTCGCTATTGTAATCAGCTTGTATTTGTTGTAATTATTTTTTAAGTTTGTCTTCAAATAGTTTCCTGTTGTTAAATGAAGTGTTTCATAATACCGTAATCCGGGGAAAATTGATGGATTATTAACGAAAACATAGAAACTAATTTTTACATTAAACGAAATTAACAAACTACTGATATTGAAATAAGTAGTATAAGTTAAGTTCGATAAGTAATGATTTATCAAATTGAATGTTTTGTTTATTTTTAGGACATTTTTGAAATCTCAAATTTGAAAATATCGATTTGGGATGAAACTGATCAAACGACCTCCGAGTAAATTTCTAGTAACTGTAATTATTAAATTGGGGTTCCCTGAATCCGAATCAGATGCTAAAATCCTTCTGCAAAGTTTATTTTTTACAGCAAAAATTTCTTAAAATAAAATGCGCCCGAATTTAGACAATTACTTTAAAAATGGCTCTAAATTTCAAAGAAAACCTGCCGCTGCAATGGAAAAAATTTTACCGTATTTTTAAAATAATTCAGATTCATTGACACTTAGTTTAATGAAAAATACCATTTCCAAGCTAATGAAAACAATCTTTGAATCCCCCCAAGCAACACACATGTTCTATAGCAGTTTACATAACCTTTGTATCAAGCTTGCAAATGCTCATTACAGCTAAAATGCTATTTTTCGGATTTATGAAGCTATGAGATATTTTAATGATAATTCTTATTTACAAGATGTAATAAAAGAAGGTAAAGTGTGTGTATAATACAGTAAACCTGTCAATTTAGCTTTCAGAGGGTCACAATAGCGATTAGCTGTAACGATCATAAAATCGTTAGTCGTGCCTTCTGAAAGCAAAATTGACAAATTTTATGTGTCATACACAAACTTTACCAACTCTTCTCGCTTCTAACAAATAAAATTATCATTATAGTATCCCATAGTTTCATAATAACGAAAACTAGCATTTTAGCTGTAATGAGCAATTGTAAGCCTGCTTTGTATGACTGGTTTTGGTTGTATAGCAGTTTTCTCAACAAAATTATATGAATGCGTGTTACCTTGAATTCCAATATTGAATGCTATAGAACGTTACTTTAAATTTAATGTTTTCCAATAAAATCTATTTTTTTTTGTTATAAGAAACTCGTCAAAGCAATCATTGAAGTCTAAATGTCAATTTCATCACAGTGATTAATTTGCCCTCGGATTACGGTACTGTTTTTTCCATTATATGAATGTGTGTTACCTTGAATTCCGATATTGAATGCTATAGAACGTTACTTTAAATTTAATGTTTTCCAATAAACTCTATTTTTTTTTTTTTTTGTTATAAGAAACTCGTCAAAGCAATCATTGAAGTCTAAATGTCAATTTCACCCCAGTGATTAATTTGCCCTCGGATTACGGTACTGTTTTTCCCATTATATCTGAAATAAAAGGCCTAAATATCATGTTAGCAATTATAAACGCGATTTTTACCTTCTCTTGATTGAGAACAAAAACACCTGTCACTTTTTTAATTTTAAATACCACTAGGCATTGTCCTTAACTACAATTTCTTCGTAAGGATTTTTAAAATGTATTTTGAATTTAAAACAAGCCAATTTAGATTTTTTCAGTGACTCGAACGCTGCTCATTTTTTCATCGGTTGAAAGCATTTAATAATAGATTAATTTCCATTTAATGTGGCATTCCTGTGTGTTTTTACGCCGAAGTCAAAAGTATTGAAATTGATTCAATTTTCAACGAACAACGATATAGGTTTACATTAAAGTGTAAATTTCAGCATTAATTAATTGAATTTCAGATTGTTTAACGTGCATTAATATATTTAAAAGCCTGCTCCAGAATGAAGTTAAAAATTGCAACATATTTTTATCTGTGTAGTAACTAGTATGTTTGTTATCAAATCTCAGATTGAAAAGCTGTTAAAGATACAATCAAATATTTCGATAATAAATCGAATCTGTTCGAATCTAAAAATAAAATCTACAATTTTTAAACTTGATAATTGACAGTCCATAGTCAAATATTTAGCATAAGATCGCATTCCTCTGTGTGAAATGTTTTGCCATTTCAATGTGATAATGCATCCAGACGGCGAGACGCATTTTTCGCGAGGCGATCCAATGAAATGTGTGGTCGAACAAAAAGAACGCCAATTAGTACCAAATGGTCAAAGTTTGCCACTAACCTTGGCTGGAGATTAGCACCTTTGTCGGATGCTATGAAACATACATACAGACAAAACACACCAGCCGTGTTGATTGAATAAATAATCGGCAATCGACAAATACTAACGGAACGCTGCTGTTTAGAAAATGAAAACACTTCCTCCGAGTCAACAAAGAGATCGGGGAAGTATATAATACCAAAAGCTGTTTCGAATAACAGAATTTCTAATGGGTTTCCCCAAATCTTACCCAGATTTGCCTAAATAGGAGCGGAAGCACGGTTTAGGATTGAAATTTATGGTTGTTATTTTAGGCACAATGCTGCTAATTGTTGCCACGTAACAAAAGGGTTGTGTAATTTTAGCAGGCCAAAACTTCTACCTAAACAAAAACACGATCGGCAGTGAACACTCATTCAGGTTGTGATGGCAAACTGTTAAAACCGAGTTGTGCTAAGCTTAAAACAAAATCAGGTGAATGAATTGCCATTTGCTGTAAATTTGGAAATATCTCAAAATGCTGTTCAGAAAATCATTAATAAATATCCATCACTCTATCGAGAGCACTCGTTCCAAGTAGCTTTCCACGAGCAGTCGGTCCAAAGTGAACGGCTCTTGAGTTGCAAAACTTGACAGACTTTAAGCTCTATAGGAAGATGACTATGTTCAAACAACGGGAGCACTAGAATGTTGTGCGCAGAGCTCTAAAGACCGTTGCTTCTTGTGTATGCCGTTGCTGTGGCTGGTTGCTGCTTTTCCATGTGGCCAACTCCGTCTCGTCATCATCGCGGTGATCGCGGTGAGAGCCTAAATACAAACTTGCCAACATGTTGACCGAGTGGATTATGTGATGGGTGAGTGAGCGAGTAAATGAACGAAGGAACGATCGACCACGACGACTACGTCGAAGACGACGGCTGAGCAAGTGGTGGTAGGCAGGCATGTGAATGGCATCAACCCGGGGCAGCAGCGTTGAGGCTCATAACCTTCTGAAATATTATGACGGACTCGAAGGTCGCTAAGTACGGCTCTAGACATACCGACTCCAATCTGTTTTTGCTCCCCGGCATGGCATGGAGAGAACTACGTGCGCGAAGTTGGAATCTACATACATACGTATATGTGTGCGCCGCTGGATGCTGGCTGCTCCTGGCTGTGGAGGGTGCTTGACAGAGTGAAGTAGCATACACATATGGGATGATATGTATATGAGGTAAGCGATTTCAAAATTGAAGTTTGTTTATGATTGTTTATGAATGAGAGCAGTTAGTGAGAAAATCGTTCAAGTTTGGTAGTGGAGTGACTGCTGCTGCTTCAACAATCACTGGGAATTTCTTAGAATGATGAAATAGGTAAATTTATGGAACACAAATTTACAACATTGAGGGAAAATTTACTGTGGTGCGTTTTCTGAAAATTTCAAATTAC